ATTTACAACACAACAAAATTTAGAAGCGGTGATGATTTAACAATTTGGAAAAACAAAAACCCTGCCGACAGCGTTGAATGCAATAAAGGGAAATAAAAATTGATCAAATTTGTACTGATGTTTCGTTTTCAAAGCAGTTCGAAAAACGAAAATTTCCGTCGGCCAGTGAACTCTTCTTTGTGAACAGGGTCTGAATATGAAGTCAACACGCGCCATGACTTGAAGCACTCGAAATTATGATGTTTGTTCCGAAGCAATAAAACGGAATGACAACATTCTCTGTTATACGATAAAACAATCCAAATGAACCATTTGAAATATGAAAAGGGCTGTTGTCGAATGCAAAGTTCGTTTGAATATGATCAAAAGAACACTGGCGGCGCGGGGAAAAGAGTAATAAGATCATTGTTGACAAACGTTCGTGATATCCGAGGGTAACAGATCAAATATTTAAGCGTGCCTTTCGAAGGCGTTATTGCAAAAGATTTGGCGAATGTTTTAACCCAGAAATGGCGGCATTTTCAATCGAGCTTTGAATGCCGGGGAAAATGAATGACGCCAAAGCGGACGCGACGTGGATATTCTATATTGCTCGCATTATCGACATATCACGCTTAAACGTGGGATGTGATACTTTAACCCAATTACCCTGAAAGGAAATATACGATACCGTTGGAAACAATCTGACGTATCTTTCGATCATAACATAAATCAAGAATGAACGCCAAAAATACCACACCTCGATCCTCGGTGTCGCTCCAGGATTCGCGATAGGGTCAGAATTTATGATACGACCGCCAGACTACCTAATTATGTGCGGCGAAAAATCTATTTGTTGAGACGAATAAAAGAAATAAGCGCCCATCAACGCAATAATGTATAGTCAGACGTGGTCTTGCAACCGAGGTGGGAGCAGCAAGTGGAAAATTCAACACGCTCTAGAAAACAGAAGGTTTTAAATTACCAAATAGATGTCTGGCGTAGACAGAAGCTCGATCCTCCGCAGCGTTGCAAAAAAAATCTTTATGAAAATTAAACGTAAGATTAGCGCGTCAAGTGCTCCCGACATTTATACACATTACCCGAATTCCGGGGGAAAACTATTTTATGGCTGTAGTGGAAATTCCTGGCCGGCTTGTGCAAACTCAACGCCGGCGATTTTTATTGTGTGGCAGTCGCTCGATACATTGAAAATTAGATGCCTTAAAAAGAAAATCCACGACATTTAGACAACAGCAGAATATTTGCATAAATCGACCTTTGTTAGCTTTAGCAACCGACTGTGCTGCTGGCACGTTCCGCCTTGCAAGGACAATGAAGGGATGAGTTCGAGTCATAAATTAAAATTTCAATTGGGAAAATAATCACGAAGCTGTACGGAATTAAGCGCGCTGAAATTTTCCAAAAATTTCATCAAAACGCTGACGGCTTCCGGGAACATGCTCAAAATTCCGGTGGAAAGGGCGGACATTTCCGAACTCGAGCTGCAAACTTCTAGGATTATAGTTTTACGGTGACTAAATAAGCACCACTGATAAGATTTTGTGTCAAAAAAAGCTTCTGGCTGTCTTAACTTAGTTCTGACGCTTCCAATCGTGAAATCGGAATTGTCAGATTTATTTCAGAATTTTTTCAACCAAACAAACAACCCTCGGGAAAAATAACATTCACAACACGGAAAATGTCATTTCCAAATTTGTGCTTTTACAAGCATTTTGCAAATAATATTCTGTTTTAAAATCCGTAAAATAAAAAACTTCTGATAACGTTGATTCCTTCACGCTTCAGTTTACATGTTTTTAAAAAATATCCCCGTTACTATGCTGGTAAATTGCGTAAACACTGTGAAAAAAGTAGATGTAACAACGTTATTTCGAAATGATTCCGCTCTATAAATGCATTTTACTGGTACATTTACCACTGGTCATTTATTTGCACACAGCTTAAATTTGCATCTAAAAATCGAGCATAATCATCCTAAATAACTCAAACAAAATCACTTCTGACAACAAATGGAGATCTTATCGACTACGAAAGTCTAAAGTTTTGTCTGCAAAGTTCGTAGATTCGTTTAAGAAACTTCAAATTTCGTATAATAAAGATAATAAAGGAAAAAGTATTGGATTTATTGGCGACGTTGTATAAACGAACTCATTTCAAGGAACGAAGAGTTCAAGCTTTCTTGAGATTTCACAGTTCACAGATTGAGAAAGTGCAAGTTTCCGTTTCTGTATGTCTGCCAATATAATAATAATCTTTAAAACTATAGATAAAACCCATAAATTCATAGCAAAACAGTTCTAAAAAAAAATTCTTTTATAAGTCACATATCGGAGTCACTGATTTAGTAATTATAAAACAAGAATTAAAATTTATCTCGTCCAAAGAATTAATGACATCAGATCAAAAACATCGTTAACGACTCGTTAACTAAAAACCGCTTCGAATAAGATTTTATGGAATAATTCTTTGTTTAAGTTTTAAGTTTTTAATCATCCATTCAAACTGAAGACAACTTAGGCAAAGATCGAAACATGTTAAATTAATTAAAACTTCGTCGTTTGTTACGTACGAACAGTGAGCTTTTGAATTATTTTTTCCCGCAATGAAAAATATTATTTTAGATGGATCAACATTACTCGCAGATTTTGAATAACAAATTTGAATAATAAAATATACGAGCTCGACCTCCGCCCATTATTTCGTTTTAAAGGTTACATAAAGAAAAATCTCTGCTAGACAAAGAAAAAAAAAATAATGAAAATCACCTCAAGCGTAGCAAATTTAAAGCCTAAAAATATTTGCATTACAATTACCTGAACGACGGTGCTAACAAATTTTTGTATAGAATAGATAATAAATATGTAAACAATTTACAACAAAATTTATTGAAGGGTCTCCCGTTTCAGTATCTGGCTATCGGTCTGTCTGTATGTCGTCTGTGTCGATATTTATTAGACAAATAATCTCCAGCGATTGTTGGCAAATTTTTTACGTATTTTAGGAATAATGTAGATGGTAAAACGCTAACCAAAATTTGTCTAATTGTCTCCACCAACAATGTGATGACGTCACCTCAAAATCTTGCATAGTAAATGCTATCTAAATTTCATAAAATAATACACTCTTATACTTGTAGTTTTTTCATCTTTACTTTTTATTCTAGCCATCCAGATTTTTTCTCTAAATTTCATAATTTAACCATCCGACTTTTCTCAAATGTTTTGGTAACCTGCTCTGTACTGCATTCCCAAATTTTCTGGAAAATGGAGTGAGCCATTCCTAATTGAATCAATAAAATAAATTCGTTAATTTTTTAATCACTCTGTATAAGCACAAGTACATTAATCAAAATTTTAAAATGACGTCATCAATTTTTTGGAGGGAATAAACAAGACATTCTGATTAAAAACTTCCTATGCTTAAAACGTCTGCATGATTTCAGAGCATCCAACTTTGCAGTTTCAAAATTAAAATACACAATGTTCCACAATTTTGATTTTTTTCCAGAAATCTGGATGTTTAGGCTAAAAACTTAAGACGGATTTACAAACTAAACGTGCAGGACTATGTTATTTTATACAATTTAAAACCCATTTACTGCGTACAATTTTGAGGTGACCCCATCACATTACTGGGGGGGATTAGACAAAATTTGGTTAACTTTTTACCATCTATATGATATTCTTAATCTGCATACAAAATTTTACAACAATCGGTGTAGTAGTTTCAGAGATTATCTGCCTAATAAAAATCGAACACATAATATTTTTTACATTTTAGATAAGGTTTATCTGGCAAAATTTTAAAATAAGTCATCAAGTTTCTGCAGGAGATTAGCACGATGGCAAGTTAAAATGTAAAATATCGTACTTTTTTTTTTAAATCTAGTTATTTAAATGTGAAAAATAAAATTTTATACAGACGTCATCAAATTATATGTTGGGACAATTAGTCCAATTTTGATTATAGTTTTATCATCTACAGGATATTCTTAAAATACACAAAGCAATACCGGAGATTATCTATCTAAAATAAATTTGCCAACAGACGACACACAGAGGGAAACGCAGACCTACTTTTTTTATTCCAGGAGCTATGAAAAGTCGAAAAACATGAAATTAGCCATTCACCAATATAAATATCAAAAAAATGGTACTTGCTTTAAAAAATTAAATCGTTAATGATGTAGCCCTATTTTTTGTGGCCTTCAATTATTCTTGCCCAGATTTATCTACGTGTATTTTCAAAAAAAATAAAATATAACGAGCAGTTTCAAAAATTACAAGTAAAAGTTTCGCTCGAACGAAAACTGAAGTTAAACACAGTCCTCGCCGGAGAAACAAAATTAAGTAGTTAAAAACTAAATATTGTTGTCATTAGCCCGACCCGATAGATTAATTTTCTTAATGTACCTGCGAAGGCAGTTATGAAAATTTCACTCCGAAATAATTTCAGAAGTAATTTATTTTCCCCAGACCCAGGTGTGAGAGGTTTGTGTTTAATTGTTAAATTGCTCAGAACGAGATAAGATGAAAAAATGCCGCCACTTTATTCTCACCCGTGCCAAAATTAATAATCGCAATTAACAATCGTAGCATCGCATTAGTCGGACATACCTATTTACTAAAACTCGCGAAAATATTCCCCGGTGATAAATGCAGTAATTTGAATGTCATAACCAGATGGGTATTTGACAAGGGCTGAAACTTCAAACGAAACACTTGTGGAATAGAGATCGTAAACACCAATATCGGATCCGGTAGAAAGCATTATGTGCAAAGATTCAAATTTCATAACACGTAAGTCGTGCAACAGTTAGAACTCGAGCTGCAAACCCCCATGAAATCTTACAATAATAAAACCCAACCCCGGACAAAAACAAACCGGATTAAAACACTTCGCGAACGACGTTTGATAAAGGTCCGGTTTCACCCCTTTTTCATTTTCTGATGGTACAGCGCCAAGTAATCCCCACGCAAACTTGCTCTCATACTTACAAAAAGCACGGCGACCAAACAAAAAACCTACAGAAAAAACCGACGAATTGCCTCGCATGGATCAGCACAGTTTGAAAATTTCAAAGTTACATTTATCGGACCTCCTCAAGCGACTCCGTGCGTAGCGTTCGCGTCTACCGGATTCCGGAAAACAGGGTGCGTCTGTACGCCGCCGAAGCTCGGAAGAGACTGATCTGTGGGGGCGGAAACTCTGCCGCCCCCGCTACCAACGTTCGAATACATCATGTGTTGCTGGACTGCGTCGACAATGAGAATGTATATAGTACTTTAGAAACTGTGGATCTAAATGAGAGTGCCCATTTCTAGGACTCTATTTGCTTTGTGCGGAAACAAATTGCATTTGCGGAAGTACACATCGGACTTGGGAAAACTGACTCAACTCGGAATTAGCAATTTTATTGATTCCTTACGTGTGGGCAGGTGGAACGGAAATGTCAAAACTGAATGCCAAACATACATAATCCAAAAACTAAAGACTCAGACGGGGCGCGGCAAAATTGGACCGAATGACAAGATTTCCAAAAATAATGGAATCAAAAGTTGCGTTGAGAATTGGTTTCGAACGACATTTGATATTTTGATACTTTTTTCACAAATTTATGAAATATTCATGACTTCTTTAGATGTTGGAACGCAAATTTAAAATGTAGTAAAATAACATCATTTTAATATCACCACAGAACTAACGAAGCTTATTTAAAAATACTTCAGACGTTAATTTTTTCTCTCATTTTTAAATAATTTATCCCAAAATAAGGATAGCGTGCTTAACGCCGACGCTGGTCTTTTCCCCCACTCCACTTCGCCAATCTCATAAAGAGTGAGGAAATTGGGCGTGATTGGCAGCACTGGATATTATAGGGTGATTCGTCGTAGATTTGATGATCTACGTCTACTCTAATGCAACGAATAACTACAACTACGCATTATATATTATTTTCAAAAATCTTTTAACTAAGAACAATACTTATTGATAAATTAATATCCCACAAGTTTTCAAACAGATCTATTCTAGATTTATAGCCCACTAAATATTAAAGTGTGTTAAAGTCTTATGATTAAGTTTCAGACTTCTAATTGCGAAAGTACAATACTCCTGCACTTGTGTTATGAATTTGCCTTGATATTATTTGTCTGGTCTTTAAATACATAATATACGAAATATTGGGCCACGGTTCAGTGGCGAGCGCGTTAGTTTTACATCTGAAAGGTCCGGAACTCGATCTCCAATATATCCATTTTTCCCCTACACGGTAATTGATTTATATGTACTTTAGCAGTCCATACATATCTCTACTTTAATTTATAGGGGTTATTTTAATTTTATAATTTTTCGAAGAAGATGAATTTATTGAACATGGAAGATACTTCAACAATTTGTATGTATTAAGCAAATCTCGTTTTTTCTCTGACTACAAAATCCTAAGAAATGTTTTTTCAAAAAATTAGGCAAATTAAACAAATAGAAACTATCATAAATGATGACCGTCGGTCGTCTCCCCTTCCTGTTCTCAGTTTATGGTTTTTTAGAATAATGTGTTTGTTTAAATGCAAAATCGAGTCGTCGATAGCAAAAGAGCCATTAACAATCCACTGTTTTCTTTGATATTTGATGTTTATTTTAACTTATAGGAGTTATTATAAAAAAACTAAATTCACAAAATGAAATTTTATACATTTCGAAAAAGTTGTACTGTATTTCAGGGACGAGGGAAGATAAACCTTTAAATGAAGGTGTTTTTTCACGGGGTTATAAATACGACGCAACATTGAGAGTCAGATGTAAACTTTTTTCACTATATGATTTAGATTTATTAATTAATATCACTTGTTTTCTGGACGTTTCATGACCTCCGTTTATTTATCTGCCGGCTGTCTCGATTTTTATTAAATAATTTTCAAAACTGCCGGACCGTTTGTTGTCAAATTTTAGATGTGTGTTAAGAACATCGTGTAGATGGTAAACCCCAATAAAATTTGTCTAATCATCCCGATCAACAATTTCATGACGTCACGTAACATTTTTCTTAGTAAATACAACTTAAATCTTGTAAAATAACAAACTCCTGTACTTGTGGTTTATGAATCCGCGTTTACTTGTTTACACAATTGCTTTACAAAAATGTTTGTGCAATATTTTATAAAATAACATACTATTGTACTTGCTGTTTAAGAATTCACCTTGAATTGTTTAAATAGGCTTTCAAAATTTCCAAAAAAAATCCACATTGTATAATTTTGCATAACAAAATAATTTTTCATTCTATAGCATAAGCGCCTCGGGATAAATCTAGATCTCATAGTGGGGGGAGTTTTAAGCTACGACTCATCAATATTTTTTATTTATAGAATTGAAAAATATACATTTGTTTAAAAAAATCATAATTATTTCCGCAAACACGAAACAATTGTCATTATTTTTTGCGTTAAATAAATTATAATTATTGGAGATAGAAAAAAAGTCAGAGACCAAAGTTATACGGCTCTTTGAGTAGCATACATTAAAATTATTTAGGACATTACGACTATACGTTTGTTTTTGAGACACAACTTAATTTTTTTAAATAGAATTGCCTACATATTTTTACATATTCTGATTAGAACTTATAACTATAGCTCATTTTTGAAATTCAGAAGCTACGTTGCCACGTTATTTCATTTTTTTTATTTTTTTAACAGTCCAAGGATTAACAAAAAAAATCGCAATAACGCTATTTTTACGCTCTATGTTGAAATATTTTGTGGAGAGATAAACAGAGGTACATACTCCGTTGTGGTACCAATTAAATGCAATTTGAATATACAGTATGTTTACAAAAAAAAAACTTGACAAATTTCAGATATCGATATTTCAGTTTCTTCAAGTAGAACACCCTGTATTTTATTACTACATCTTACTCTACTTTTTGTCCCCCTTCTTTCAATACATCGGTGTGTCTCTAAACATAAAAGTAAAAAATCTCGGTAACTATTAACTTTAAATATAGAAAATACAAAAACGATTTTTTGCTCCAATTTTTCGATTCTTCAATTTTTCTTTTTTTCAAGTTTAAAATTTTCAATTTTCCACGTTTTAATTTTTTCGATTTTTATATTTTAAAATTTTTCGGTTTTTTATTTTCGTTATTATTTCACGTAATCGATTTTTCAGTGTTTCGATTTTATTTTTTTGTTTTTCAATTTTTCATATTTTTTTTGTTTTTTCATTTTTAAGATAAGCAACTCTTCGAGTTTTCATTTTTAAATTTTTCAGTTTTTCGATTGTCCAATTTTTGGATGATTCAGTTTTCAGATTTTGCAGTTTTTCTATTTGCAAGTTCTCGAGTTTTTAATTTTTAAATTCTCACTTTTTGGATTTTTCAATTATTGGATTAGCAAGGTTTCAATTTTTAATTTTTGTTAGTACTTGCTAAGATAAGACTGATTTTAGCAAATCACATACCCTCTAAAACGACAGAGGGCGGGTGGGCGGGCCTAATAGATGCTAAGATAGAACTAATTTTGGCAAATCATATACCATCTAAGAAAATAGAGGGTGGGTGGGCGGGGCTAGTACTTGCCAAGATAAAATTGAATAATATTATGAGTAGTCGCTAGAATGAAGAGGGGGTCGATGGGCGGAGCTATTGCTTGCTTATCTTATAAAACTCTTTGGAAAAACGTCAACTCAGCTCCGTCCACTTTTTGTCTCCATTTCACTGACTTATTTTGTTTACTGTAAAATGTGAATTGAATTCTATTTTAACAATCGGTAGAATCTGAGATTTAAAACAAAGTAAAAAGGGCCCCACCAACCCATCCTTACTGCGTTTTCATAATTCACTCTTATTGGCTCCGAACAAAGAATTTCAGAAGTTTTCAATTTTTAACTATTCAATTTTTCGATTTTTCAATTTTAAAATTACAAAATCGAAAGAAATATTGAAAAAATAAAGAAATTGTAAAATGGAAAAATTGTGATATGAAATCGAGAAAATGAAAATTAAAAAATCGAGAATACGAATAACAAAAATCAAGAACTTGAAAAATTGAGGTAACGAAAAATTGAAAAATCGAAAAATTAGAAACGAGAAACTGAAAAACCGAAAAATGAAAAATTGTAAAAGCGAAAAATTGAAAAACTGAAATTGAAAATAAATAAAAAACGAAAAATTGTGATATGGAAAATTTAAAATCGAAGAAAAAAGAAAAACGAAAAAATTCTAATATCAAAATATTTTTAACTCCAACCGATTTTCCACAATCGCCAATTGAAATATCAGTTTTTAAAAAATCAAAAAATTCGAATTTCACTTCGAATATTTCGAAAATATTGCGCCGTAACCCTAAACACGCCATATTTTTGGAATCAACACGCCAAGATCTATAACAATGAATATGAAAAAAAAATGAAAAAAATGATCAAATACATTTAGATCAAAAATTTACCATGCTTACGATAACTTTAAAGCATCTCCCAAAATTTCAAAGCATTCGATTTTGCACTTCCTCATTAAAACAATAAAATAAATTCACGCATTCATTAATTTTTTTGAGTCACCTTGTATATATCAAAATCCAACAAATATGAATGGAATGATAAATCACACATCTAGACTCATCATATTTTGGATTAAATAGGACACTCGGTAAAATTTTCAGTCGACGTCATCAATTTTTTGGAGGGGATAAGCAAATATATTGTGATTCAAAATGTATCACGCTTATTATTTTTTCCAAAAATCTGGACGTTTCGGATAACAATTCAACACGGCGTCATAAACTACACATCTAGTACTATGTTACTTTTTACAATTTAAAATCCATTTACTATGTACAATTTTGAAGTGACGTCATCACATTATTGATGGAGATGATTATAGACAAATTTTGGTTAGCGTTTTATCATCTACATGATATTCCTAATATAAATACAAAATTTGACCACAATCGGCCCAGTACTTTTGGAGATTATCTGTGACAGACGGACACACGGAAACGGGAGACTTATTTCTTCGTACTCTAGGGTTCATGAAAGCTCGAGAAAACGTAAAAGTAGATAGTTGGCCGACGGACTCGATTACAATACTTCCTTCGCTTACGCTTGGGAGATAACAAAATAAGATT